AGTCTTAGGATGACGTATATATATTTTACGCATTGACATAGGAAAGAACGGTAATGCCTTAGATGACCTCGGGTTCGGGTAAGGACCCGGTTAGTGATTCAGACCCTTGGGTTTGGGTCGTTACAAATTGTATGATATAGCTTACTTAGTCAAACTGGTAACTGGGAGTCCTTTGCCATATTCACCCATGGAATTTATTGAAAGACTTGGTAATATACTCGACCGTGTCTATGATGTAAAGTATATCGCCAAGTATTGTCGAAGGCTATTATGTGGAAAGATGGGTTTGGAAAGAATGGCAAACATGTTGGGAATATATGTAGTTTAGGGATTGCACATCAAACCGGTTCAAATAGCTTATTGACGACTTGTGTTTATTTGAAGATGAAGGAAGTATATCAAGTAATTGAGGAAAGATTTGAAGGCTTCTTATATGGGGTCAGCACCAAGATCGAGATGAACTATGAGCTACTTATGATTTGTTGTCCAACGCAATATCTCCTACATTGTACACGCTGCTCAACATTTAATTCAATATGTGCGGGACTTGAGCAATTGTCTATATGTAATATATGATATAGCTAGCGGCTTCTTTGTATATAATTGTTATAGGTTCATTCAATTGATTGATCAATCAATATTCTTGCATGTGTACGTTGTTTTGAAAAAAAATTGTAATACTCAGAATTATTTGTATTCAATCGAAGATCATCAATAAAAATTTCATGCTTTATCAATTTTAATTTTCTTTCTTGATTTTAAACTATAAAGCTGTGAAGTTTGTTGTATTTAATACATGAGATTTGTACTGAATTGAATATATATAAGACATTTTCTTCTGCCTGATACTGGTTTAATTCACAGCATATTATACTACTGGTTTAATTGACAGCATCACAATATATGAACTAATTTGATCTCAGTAAGCATCATGATATGTGAGCAAAATTATACCATATTTCCTTCATATTTATCAGATAAGATATGTGAGCAAAATTATACCATATTCCTTTCATATTTATCAGATAAGATATTATATCACCATCAATATAAGCGCACAACCATAGCAAACTTCGTTGTTAAAAAAAAAAAAAAATTAACTTTTTTCCCTCCATTCTCTGTAATGGCAGTGAAGCATAGTAATTGATTTTTCGGTATACGTGGGGCTACATTGATGAAAATGGATTAAACCTAGGCAATGGGATAAAAACCAAAGGTTGATCCCTTGGAAAAGTCAATCCAAGTCCCTCTTCCATGTCCAGTTTCCCATTCTATCCATCACCAACCTTCCATTTAAAGCATTGAGTCATAGCAGCAAGGCCGGTTTGAACCACCTGCATTGCTAGTGAAGTTCCAAGGCACCCTCTTCATCAGCTCCCAAACAGCATAAAATGGAAATGTTGTCCCCTCACATCCAACTGCCCTTTTCCATTCCCTTCTTCACTGATCACAAACCTTTCTGGACAGAACTCCAGAGGTTTTTCCCAGTGGCTTGAGTCTCTGCCTATAAACCATACATTAATAAAGAGCTTAGTCTTTGCTAGTATTTCATAGCCAAAGATGGTGTAATCTTCACTTGACTCTCTACCAATTAATAAGGTAGCAGGGTGAAGCCTTAGTATTTCCTTTACAATGGCTTGTAGGTAAGGAAGGTTTGCCATATCTAATTCTTCTACCAATATCTTCTTTCCGATAACAGAATCAATCTCTTGCATTGCCTTCTCCATTACATTGGGATTGTTGATGAGCTCTGCTAATGCCCATGCAATGGTAATAGCAGACGTATGCTTTCAACACATAAGCATGAGATGAGCATTGGCATGGTAGTGTATTAGCATCTACATGTGAATTCACATAGTAGTCAAATTCTTATGTTTTGCTCAAAATCAGTAAAACCAACTTCCTTTTATACTGTGAAACTAGAGTTGAATTAAAGATTGTAACTATTTAATTTTGATGGCACGAAAGAATCAATGTAAAAAAAATCAAAATTTGAGTCCTAATAATAATTTAGTGATGTACCGTAAGCAAGCCTTAAGTATTCCATGTAACCAACAAACCAGAGATACTTAGATTCAAAATGATAATATGAAGTGGAAAAAAGAAAAACATTCATAACCAGTTAAATGTGGACAATTTTAGAGATAATGAGAAGAAAACATGGCATAGTTAAGGGGCTCAATGGAGAAACAAAAATTGTAATGTTTATAAATTGTATGTATATATATATGTATATATATTAAAAGAATTCTTTTATGCTATGGGACCCACAAAAAATGTTTTAACCATTATAAAAGCCATAAGGCCATTACACAGACTCATTGTTTCTCTCTCTCAGCAGTTTCTATTCTCTCTCTCTGTAACATTTGTTTTTCTTTTTCTTTTCACCATTCAAAGCTTGATCCCTCCTTTGGCTTTGAGAATTTGGTAGAACCTTGTGAAGCAAAGTTGGAGAACTCGTCGAGACCGTCAATTTGATATGAGCCAATCACCATTTGGCCAATCCTAGGAATTTCGAATTTAGGGCTCATATTGGGGCTTTTTCTATCATTTGAAGTAAGGGATTTCTAAGGCATAAATTCTTTGATTTTTGTGAATTACTTCTCAATTCTTGTTGAATATCTTGCTTAATTTGTTGTAATTTTTTGGAATATAAATTTTCAATGTTGTAAGTGATATGTATGTATTGGATTTTGTTGATTTTATGTGAAGAAGCATGCCTAAGTAATTGATTCCATGTTTTATATACTTAATGTGCCGAATACTTGTTATTAGAAATCATGATATGATTTTTATTAGAATTTTTTTTATTTTTTATTTATTTTGCGCATGCTATGTGATTAAGGTTTGAATATGATACATGAGAATGTATAATTGACACGGCATCAAAAGGCATGAATTTTCCTTATTTCACGACATTGTAATACATGGAGCATTCTTGCATCCATCGGGAAGAGAAAAGGGAAAAAAAATGTTTTCAAAATAAGGGAAATAAATTTTTTGGGAAAGTATTTCTAAAAGTGTTTGCGAAAACCAAACGCCTAGGAGGAGCCTAGTGGTCTGTAATGTTAGTGTAGTCTAGAAAGGAGTGTAATTGAGCTAATTAGGCCGGATGCGAAACCTTGGAGGTGTCTTGTGGTCATGGATAGTTAGTCAATCCCCCTTTCGTAACGCATTAGAGGTACCTTGGGTCGGATTACACTAACGATTTGGTTGTTGAAACGGAATTGTTTCGGAAATGGGGAATGACATTTGCATAACATTGTACTTTATGGCATTGTAATAAATCTGTGATTGGTTGACATTTGCAATATACTTGTTGTTGTGGTTGAGAAAATGTGTTTCCCTATGGTATGATCCCGTCCCTTTTTACCTCTTCCTTATGTGGATTCACAGGGTCATAAAAAGTGTGTCTTAGATACTTTCTACTGAGCTTATGTTCACCCCATTATTTTTAACATTTTTCAGGATACGGAAAAAAAGTGGCGGACGACGATCCACCACAGGTTTAGACGAGCTTGGAGATCCATTTTATTTTGCTATCTTTTGTATTAGAACTTTAATATTTTGTAAATGTAATCTTAACTATTTTGTGAAACTTTAGTTTAATTGATACAATGTTGTAAGCTATGGACTTTTAAATTCTAGCTACATTTTATGAACTGTAACGTGATGTAACTAAAGTGTATTTCTTGTTTGGATAAGATGGTAGAAAGGGATTTTTGATAGGTATGCAATTATTTTGAGAATGTGATATAATAATTGTATTGTGCGTTGGAACAGGAGAGGTTATTTTTTTTAGGCCTAGTGAGGCTATTGCATCTTTTTTGTATTTCAACAAATTATAGAGGGACTTTTTTTGTGAAGGTCATGCCGAAATTTTATATATTTTATTATTATTATTTTGGTATCTTTTTGGTCGTTACAAAAAACCATAAATTCAAGCTGTGTCTTATTCTATAGTGCTGAGGCAAGGAAAACCAAAGTACCCAGATGGAAGAGACATTGTCTATCGGTTTTACTGAGCTGGACCATTCATAATTTGCACGGTAACTGAGCTTGACCACTCATAACTTGGATTATGGAGCCACTCCCAACAGAATATCAATTCCGATTCCAAAACCTCAATTTGGTTCACCCTGTCGAGAATCCTGATCGAGAAAAAACTCAGAAGCTAGTGGTGCGCCGCCTCAGTTTCAAGGCCTCAGTATACACGGCCACCTGACTAATTAATATCACCAATAAGCAGATCCTTTCTGCTTTAAAGCGACCTTGACAAAAGAGAAGACACCCAGGGCACTGGCAAAAGAAGCCATAAGCTAAAATCAATATCAAAGAGTTCATGGCTACTGCTACTTACAATTTGAGAAGCCAAAAATCATATAGCCACAACAATAGTTGAGAGAGGGACCATGAACAGAAGCAGCAGCACAAAATGAATGCAAGGCCAGCAAGACTGGGCAATCCTGCCACCAGCACTGGCTAACTGCAAAGTTGCAGCCCCACCACAGCAGTACAATACAGAGGTCTACTGCAGTGTGGCTATACATGTTCAGTCAATCAGTATCAAAAGAAAATTCTCTCCTCAGATTAATTATTTGGAGGTGCAAGACTGATTAAATGCCATCATGCACCACTCAAATACAAATTTACATGCATAGAGATGAAAAAGATTGCATATAAAAGTCTTAATATTTTATCGTCAATATCTCCTCCACCTTTCAAAGAGAAGGAAGGTTTGAGGATGTAAATCCCAGTTGGTACAAAGAAAGTGTCTCTCACTAGAAAGCAAGAAAAATGTCCTTTCATCTGTGCATGTTTCGGTTGATGATGAAATATGTGACTGTTAGAGCTGCACTTGCGCCTTTTTCTTTCCTATCAAAAAACTAAATGACATATCAATATACATGTAGTATTACACAGAGTGCTGCAATGCAGAACCATGTAAAGGCAAATGATGTCAAGTTTTAAACTAAAATTGAGAAACAAAGGATCCCTGTTCATTGCAATACTAAACTTCATAAATTACAAATGCGTCAATACATGCTTCCAGTACATACAGTTGAACCACAACAGCATCTCTTCTTCTTGATGTTTCCATTGGAATCACGAATCTGATATACCGCAATATTATAATCGTAACTCAGCTCCTGTAATGGAGGAATATTATACGCAGCAAATAGCATTATATGGGGCATTCTCTTGTCACCGTGATCATAAAGGACATCCTGAACATAAAGATTAGGAGAGCAACTGTGGTTGATGAACCTCCCCACATTTCCATACTGCGCTGCATCGATGGTGTAGCCAACATCCTCCTCAACCTCGCTAAAACTTGATTGTGCATCGGGCTTGAGAGTTTGAGTTCCATCACTGAGAGAGCAGTCATTTTTGTTATGCCCAATATCAAACAAATACTCATCATAACCGATTCTTTGGTCAGCTTCCTTGTCTTCAAGAAGCTCACCAGTATATTCACATATAAAACTTCCAGAAGGAATAGAAATTAGGGATCTAACACCCCAGCCCCTTGACTCGGTTTTGAAAATTTCAAGCTGAATTTTGATACCATGCTGGCTGACTCTGTTACAGCAAGAAGGGGGGCACTTGCAAGAAGGACCACACTCGTAGACAAGAGGCTTCACTTCCACAATAGCTCCATCATGGTTGTATGGGATCTCTCCCCCATTCTTGACTGCACACAAGCATTTTTCAGGATCCAAGCATCTATCGGTACAGTCACAACCCTTGGGAGGATTAGGGCGGTACCAATCAGGATACATCATCCTGGTCATGTATGTGAACGGTGGGGGTTTCTCATTGTCTATTGAGTTCACAGCACAAATAGGGAATAGCTCTTTCCATCCTGATATATCATCAACACAAAGATCCTTCCGTATTTTATATTTTGTTAAATTTTTCACTTCCTTCCAGGCAAGCTCCGGTTGGCCTGGAATTCTTGTCAACTCAAACTTATAAACCAGCTTACCATGTGGTCCAGGTTCCTGCCAGTACCTCTTTACATTGTACAGGCCATCATAAGAGTAGGTCATAACCATCCCTCTATATCCACGGATCAGTCGCACAGGATTCTTCACCGATATACTGTTCTTCAAAGCCAAGTTTCCTCTTACAAGTTTCTGGTCTTCAGGCTGCTTATGGCGACCTTTTGGTTTTCCTCCTTGTCCAGAGTATATCAAGACATCAGCATTGTCCAGATCATCATCATAACACCCTGAAGCAACAATACTAGTTGCAATGATCTCTCCGCCATATGGCATGTAATCTATACCACCCTGGTATGGGCGATGCACGCCGATAAGAGCAAGCTCCACCCTGTACTGGAACTCGTCGCCCACCTCAACTCCTAGAACTGGTCCCAGTATTTTTTTACCTGTGTCAAATTCTTTTCCTTTTTTCTTAATCTCATTTATCGCTTCAAGATCAATCCTTCTGGTCTGCCCCAACTTTGCTTCTTCCTTTCGTAATACCCTCCTACAAGTAATTTGAAACAAACGTAGCGTTTCCATCACTTTGTTTCGGGCATCACCATGATTTGAACTATTTGGACCATAACAGGGGGCCCGACGTACATCAAAATCGTGCAGCCGTTGAAATTGCTGAGAATTGTAATGCTGCTCATCATCATAAACAGCAGTATCTTTTTCATCCCAGACAGGTAGTGCACCTATGCCTCCATAAGCTGCCTTCCCAGCAGACATTGATTTCCCTTTCGAAGAATTACCTCTTGAATAATCTGCTTCATAATTATTTTTCCTAACAACAATTATAGACTTCCCTCTCCTGCTGAAATCCTGCTTCTTTAATTTGCTTCCGCTCATACCACCATATGGGATAGTTTTTGAAGCCCTTTTCCTCTGCTTCCACAGACAATATGGTGAAGCCGTGAGACCTTGCCCCATCATCCTGGCCACTCCACATCCCAAACCAACATGATCACCCAAAAGCCTTTGCTTAGGACTTTTGTCATGTGAGTGAACCATTATCTCCTTCCCCAACGAATCTCTTACATCCTCGGAATCCTTTATAATTACTGCCTGGGACTTGTTTCTTGGCTCAGGCACAGTTCCTCTCGAATCATTCTTCTGAGCATTCCCATCTCTAACGTTCCTTTTTGATTCTACTATGGTAGCCCTCACAGCCTCCACTGTCTCCCTCAATGACCTGCCTTTTGCAACAACCCTCTCTGTGCCACCAAAACTCTTGTTTCTCAACACAACCCTCTGGCGCTCTTCCTCATTTGGGGGTGGAGCATTCCTTCCACAAAATGGAGGGTTTTCATCGGTAACCGAAACCCTTCTTCCCCGATAATTTTTCTTCAGAACATTCTCCTCCCAAAATTTGTCATCACCAATAGACCACTGCTGTGGAGACAACTTTTTTGCACTAGCCACCAACACAGTTTCATATTGTAGTGCATCTTCTCTCTTCATCAGGGCCTGAACCTCCACCTCAAGCAACTCCTTCACCAATTCTGGTGCAAGACATTCTAAATCTTTCCGCGACCTAACTCCCTTAACCTCCATATTTGTTGAATTTTTCTCATCCTTTCTGACCATCCCGGGCATATCCTCCACCTTCCCCACCAAACCACCCAATGATTCATCCATTTCTGGCGGAATTCGACTTTTCATCACTTCATGAGACTGGAATTCAACCCGAACCTCAGGAGTACAATCGTCCACTACAACTTCAGTTCTTTTATCACCCACCAAATTCTCCTTATCAGCAACCAATGCCACCACATTTTCGTTTTGCCTCAAATGAATCGGTGGGGCATTTGGGCCACACCCCGGAGGATAATCACGAACGCAGGAAACCTTCCGGGGCTTATACTTGAACTCCGAAACACTGGAAGACCAGGAATAGCCGTTTTCCAAAGGCTGTTTTCTCAAATTCCCATCAGATAGACCACCATTCAACAAAAACACCATTCTCAATCCCCCGGCCAACAAAGAAAAATCACCGTTAGGTTGCTGAGAAAAAATAAAACAAGAACAAAATAAAAGAAAACGTAAAAATAAAAAATAAAAATAAGATAAGCACTCTTTGATATTTGAAACTAAAACTCATATTGCAGCTTATAAGCATAAAAAGTTACATAAACAATAAGCTTATAGAAAAAACAAAGTAGGGTTTGAATCCATTAAAAAACAACTGAAAGTGTGTACCTGATGTGAGTTCAGAGTTCTAATTGTTTCTTGAGAAATAATATTCAATGGTGAGTGGAGTGATTGAAGAGAAGATGAACTCCAAATATTAGCGATTCATGGTCGAGATTTTCTGGAAGGGTTTTGTCACAACGAAAGTGTGAACCGTGTGTGAGAGTGAGTATGGGAATGATTACTGACAAAATGAAACCGTACTATAACCGGCGAAGGGAATGGGAATCGCTGATATTACAGTTATGCCCTTGGTTTTCTGTTCATTGTCGGCTCTACCACTTGGCGCGAGGAAGTCAGGTTACGACACCGTTGGATCAGAGTACGAGCTCTCACACATGAAAGCTGACTAATTTTCAAGAGGCGCAATTTTGATTTTTTGACAAAAACAAAATTTTCATTTTAAGCCAATATCTTTTAGGATTTTTTTTTTTTTTTTTTTAACACCATTTGAATTTCTCTCAACCGTAACAAACTACTTCCATAATATTTTAAGTATTTAATAGAAGAATTTACTTAGTTTTTAACTTTGGGAGTTGTTTTAAGTATTTAGGCTTGTTTTTTTTTTTTTTTTTCTTCCATGCTTCATATACTTCCTAATCTAATTGTACTATTTTAATGATTTTTTTTTTTTTTTTTTTTTTGCAGGTTTTATATTAAGTTAATTATGTATACTATTATATACAGTTAATTGATTCTATGCAGTCTAGCAAAGAAAAAATAAAATAAAATTATGCCTAGCTCTCTTGTGAATTTATTTTGAGTTATTTGATTATGTATATTGGATTGCATTCACTACAGAATGTTTCATTCACTCCCTAATTTGAAGCAAAAGCTTGGTCTTATGAACTGCATAATGATTGCTCCATCTGTAACAAAACTTATAAATTATTAATTTTATTCAATTTTGAATTCTAAAGGATAAAAAGAAAATGGTGTTCAATTTATAATTCAACTTTACAAATTTCGAAGAAAAAAAATATGTCCGAATTAAAAAATAAAAAATAATTTTTTTTTATGGATTAAGATCGCAACATAATATAACAAAATAGTATTAAATGTTTTAAAATTGTTGAACATAGTTAATTATTTTGGGCTTGTATGACAATGGTTTTTTGATTTTATATTTTTGTTTTAATCGAACAGAAAATTATAAAAGAGTCCGTCTATTCTCACCTACCACCTTGCAGAATCTGGACAGACACTGATAATATGAATGCCATTTTTCATATATCCTGTATGTTTCGTTTAATTTCTGGTATGGCCAAATGGGCGTGATTCCTCTGCAGTGAGCTTTCCTGCAGTTCTCTTAACTAAGCTTTAAGTGGTATATATTTGGCCAGCCCTAGAAATTGTGTTCGGTTGCGGCAATAACAAAAAAGTAAAATGTCACGCAGGTCGACCACAGTTTATAAGTAAGGAGTATAAAAAGTAATATCACCATTTATAACATCACCATCTAAAAAATGAAAGTTGTTGACAGTCAAATACTTTATAATCCCCTTCAAAATTCTCTTTAAATTTTTTAGATGCTCTATTTTTTATGATAAAATTTAATTTGAAAAAAAAAACATAAGTAATATGTTGAATAAAGTTAAATTTACGTATGACATTAGTTTTTTTATCACTATGTGAATATTAATTTTTTACCATTACGGGAATACCTTCTTTTAATGATGAAGGTGGTTAGTATAGCAATTAATTTTAAACTTTGCCAAAAAATTTCATAACACAATAGTGCGAAAGTAACAGCAACTATGTCAAAGAACTCCACAATTCACTTTTAGAAGATGCCTAAGTGTATGTTTTTTTAATATTTGAAAGAATTAAGTGTTTTATTTGTTGTCTAAAGTTAATCCAAGTGACTTTAATCTTGGTTTAAATTCTTTAAATTAACATGTTAAAGTGTTTTTAAGATGTTCTATTTTTTGTGGTAAAATTTAACTTCAAATAACAACATAATAAAACGTTGAATTTAGTTACATTAATATGTGACATTAGTTAGTTAGCACGATGTGAATACCTTTGTTTGAATCTGAAGGTAGTGATCGAGTAAATAGCAATTAATCCCTTTGCCAAGTCTTATCGATAACACATCGATACGAAAGTAACAAGAACGGTATAGTTCACTTTTAGAGAATAACTAAATGTATTATTATTTTATACATATCAAAATATAAAAATAAAAAATAAAAGACTATAACTCTTTTAATTAATTTGCTAAATATTGAATATTTTGTATGTTGTCTAAAATTAGTCCAAGCGACTTTAACTCTGGAATGGAATTTTTTAAATTAACATCTGAGAATGATTTTTATGATGTTATTATGTGTGACATTATTTATTCCACATTATATAAATTCTTATAAATGAAGAAAAACGTTGCCAAATGTATTCCATGTAAAGCTCAGACAGGGCAATTCACTTAAAAGAGGATTTGCGCCATTCGCAAACAAATATTTTTTCTGTGCACCTTCTTTTTTTTTTTTTTTTTTTTTTTTTTTTTTTTTTTTTTTTTTTGTGTTTTGAAAGTGATATTTATAATATTTTAAAAGAAGAAATACATACCCGACTAAATAGGACAAGAAAAGAAAAATGAAAATACCTTTGTGGTAAAATAGAATGCACTACTTTCCTCTTGATTTTATTTGATTGGTTGCTGTTAAAACTAATTCTTAACTGAGATTTGATTGTCTTTATTATTTTCAGGTTCAAAATTGCATTAATAAAAAACAACCAATAATCAGAACACTACAACTATTTATAACCACTCGAACTTTATAAAACCCAGAGCAAACGACATTTAAAATTTATGAAAAATTATAGAGAAGTCCAAAATTACAAAATTAGATGACCCAAAAAAATAAATTATTTCAAAGCAAATTGAACACGACTCAGCTGTGTTAAAAAGTTGCCACTTAATCTATCTTTGGGCTGATATGCTATCCTTACCATTTTCGAGTTCATTAAAAGTATCAAAGATCAATTTGGAATGTGATAGAGTCACTAGATAATACATTGTTTAACAGAGAGTTTGGAACTCTGCTATCTCAGAACACTTATATATGAAGAGTATGTCATTTGGTTTAACACAGAAGACATAGAACTAAAAAGGTTTAGGCTAAAGTTGTACATTCAACTTACAAATTATTTGATAGATACATTACAACAACACACTAAGATAAAAGTGGAACAGTAAATCATGAGAACACTTGACTGAAAGTAAAGAACACACTGCTCAGTTTATGGTACAGTCCAAGCTATAGTCCAAATAATCTGAGAATTTATTCACTCACTCGCATACTGTTCTAATGATAAAGAAACAAAGGGTGTTTGATAGACTCACAGAGGTTGACATATCCATGTTGGTGCATGCTGGCTCATCTGCTGTGTCCACCACTCACTCCATGTTTCACCAACCAACCAATTCGCGTCTCATCTCAACATAGTGAGAGGGATTGAACCTGCACAGCGGCACCCTTCCAAAGATTCTGCGTTCCCCCTTGATAACCCACTGCCTCGTTACAATAATCAACACCAAAAACAGATATGCACCATATGTGATACAGAAAGAAACTCCAGATTGTAATATTAATGACATACTATACATATAACTAATGGCCAGGAATATTAGAGAATATCCCAATAGTTTACTATGATATGTCAGAGGGAGGGCAAGAGCAAGCACTCCAACTGCGACAGCAAATGCAGCTGAGTTGCAAAAATTTATCATATCGAATTTATATCCAGACAGGACTATCGTCCCAGCACGGTCCGGCATTGCAGTTCTGTTGTTAGCAGTGCCATTGATAGCAGTAGAGTTGGTAGGAATATAATCTATGGCAGTATGATTGAGAATAAAAATGGTGGGATTGTTTTCACCTTGTTGGAATCCACCGGGAGGATTGAGTACAATTTGATAGGTGGTAGTTGCAATAAGCACAGCAACAACCAGTAGCGCATTGTGCATGTCACTTGACAAACCTTTATGCATATTAGGAACAAGCCACAACAATTTTTTATAGAGCTTTACAGAACTCATAAAATGTGCAAGACTCGTACATTTAGGAGGGATTGAAGCTTTTAAAGCTCCTGCGCGGACTAAAATGTTTCTGACCTCTTCATTTCCTTCAGATGAATCAAGTGCAGTTTTACCCTCCAAATTTCTTGCAATTTTGTCCACTTTATTGCTGATTAACAACTTCACAACCTGAACAAAATCACATTAATTCATAAACAATTACAAATGGAATTAAAATAAAGCAAAAGTAACAGTTTGCCATCTTAGAACCATCAACAGACATATATGCTGCATGCATGGTAAATGAAGCAAAAGAGAGCACCTGGAGTTGGTTAGTGGACGCTGCAATATGCAACACTGTGTTGCCATCCTCATCCTTCCAGTTTAGCAACTCTTGATTGTTGAATTTATGAAGCCATCCCAAAAGGACTTTAAAAGATTCTAAACTACCATTTCTCATGGCAATATGCACTGCAGTCTCTCCTCGTACTGTCAAATCATTGATGGATGCTGGGCAAGCACATAGAAATTCAGCCAATAGATTGAATTCATTTCTTGCAGCTACATGATGCAAAGGAGTGATCCTCTCCTTCCCTTGGACACGGATGAGCTCGCTGTCAATATTTACGAGCCTTATCACGGTCTCAGTATGCCCATTTCGCAGTGCTAAATGCAAAGGGCTTAAGCCATCTGGGTTTAACTTCCTACCAAATGATGGTTTTAAGCTAATCATTTCAACAGCAAAATGGGTACATCCAGCAGATGCTGCTATATGTAGAGGAGTATGAACAAATGGGATCCGGTCAATGTCCTCCAATATGTAAGGATTCTCCTGAAACAGTGCATACAACGCATCAATATTTCCCTCTTCGGCGGCATTTTTCAACCTCTGCTCCATCCTGAGATTGTACAGTTAAGCAGCTTAATAATCGAAGTATGCTGGAAGGTAATAGTGTAACACCCATTATAAATAGAATTCGCAGGGAATGGTAAACGTTCTATGGATAATGTAGAAAAAGAAGTAAACAAAAACAAAAGGAACATGGGATATATCGTCAGATCATCAAAATAATCAAATTGTAAACTAATAGCAATAACTGGGGAGGATAGTAGTGCGAGTTCAGATGCAACAAGAGATGAGTTCAGTTTTTACGATGTAGGGTCCTATTTGTACAATCATCCGCAAGATAACATGAGAAGTAGGTTGGTCAAGATTCAACTTATAAAAATTAAACAGCATTAAAGAAAATTTCATCATTTTGCCTTCAGATTTTTAAAATAAAAAAATAAAAATAAAAATAAAAAAGAAAGAAAGAAAGAAAGAAGCTTTTTTACTCTTCTCCCAGACTCTCTGTCCCTTTCTCTTTTTCTCCTCTCGTTCAGCAACTTACTTTCTCTCTCTCTCTATAGACCACATTTTTAAACAAAAAAAGAAAAATAAAAAAAATGAATTGCTTTCTATTTAACCTCCGCTTCTATTATTTAAATGGATTTGATAACACAACTTCATCACAATGACAAGTAAAACTCAGAAACAAATCAAATTATGACAGAAAGAATCCAACTCATCGTCATCTTTTTTCCCTCCTTTGACTTCATGGATGTATCCCTCTTATTTCCATTATAAATTTCTTTTGAAGCTTGCACTACCAACTTTCTTGTAGCTTCCAAGAATCCTCCTTTGCTTGTGTAGAGGGCCTCTGTAGAAGAGCTGGTTTGACTTTAGGGTGATTAATTAAGGTGATCATCTTGGCCTGGCATGAAAATGACAATTTAAATGAATTCTTCCATGTGAATTTTTATTACAAGGTCAAAGAGGTAAATACTTACAAATTCACAGGTGAGCAGCTGAGAGAATTGTATATACAACTTGCATGTAATATATTTGAGAAAACTTGAAAGACAATATCAAGGTTAAGATAATGGATGAACAAAGAATGTGAAGGATTTAAAAATAAATAAATAAAAATAAGAAATAACTAATTGATATTTATATAATTAATAAAATTAGAGCCGTATTTTTGACTTAAGCCTCTACTAGAATGGAGCCACTGACTTGTGAGATTCGTGAAGTTCTTATGCCTTGTGGCTTGCACAGAAGATGCTTCACACTGAAAAATAAAAAAATATAAAATATAAAACTACAATAAGGACATTTTAATAGAATACTCGTGTCCCGGTTTATTAATTGGAATTAATTTAATTTAGATTGTTAGGCTGTATGGAGCTTTGATTGTTTCATTGTGTTTAATTCTACAATGAGAAGATAGTTATTATCTTCACGGGAAGAATTACTAGGATAACGAATTTAATTTTGGTAGATAAATTATCACTATAGAAAGACATAGCACAAAACTTTCATACTTTTGTTTGCAAGTAGTTACCCTACTAAAGAAAAAAAGGACATTGTGATGTCAGTCGAAGAGACTCCACAACTTAACAAATGTTAAAGAACAAGAGAACAAAAGAACATACCTTGAAGAATTGGTATATCCAGTCACTTAAAAGACAACTCACTAGCAATAGACAAAGATAATGTATTAGAAAAACTTATCCTAGAAGTTAGGACATAGAGGAACAAGAAAAAACTGAAATCCTTACATCATAGCAAAGTTTTATAGGATCATGATGCATAAAAAGAAGAGAAAAGCTCCAACAGCTACAGGCATAAGCCAACTATGCGCATAGTCAATAAATGTAATCCAGTATGTGGCGCTCGCTTAATACATTTCAAGCACTTGAAAAGTTTCCAAAAGGTGTAAGATTGAAGCTCGCTTATGAAAACTTATCCTTATGGCTTGCACAGGAGATGCTTCCCACTACATGGAGTGCAAGTGAGAAGTTTGCTTAATAAATTTCAAGCATTCGGACACTTTTCAAGGTTTTAGTCTATATCCCGCTTACATGGAGCGTTGGAAGAGAGAGATTGAAAACGGAGTCAACCATTTGCATTTCTAGAAAGCAACTACTATCATATTTGAGAACACGCCATAACACTTGTAGTAAATAAAGCTTAGTTCAAATCCATGCGACCAAAGAGAGAGAGAGAATTTAAATTTCAAGCAGTTGAAAATATTTCAAAACATAAGCAAAAGATAAGCATCGGCATGATAATTTGTTAAAGTGAGTATGAGAATCTACACGTATTCAGGAAAAAAAAAAAAAAAAAATCTGCACTTGAATTCACATAACTGTCAAGTCCTTAACTTTTAATCAAAATTTCTATCCACCTACTGGTGGAGAAGGAATGCTAAAATCAGTAAACCAACTGCCATTCATAATATAGTGTGAAACTAGAGTTGAATTAAAGATTGTAACTATTTAATATCGATGGCACAAAAGAATCAAAGTTTAAAATTCAAATTTTGAGTCCCAATAACAATTCATGATCTACCATAAGCAACGAATAAGATTGAGCCTTAATTATTCCATGTAACCAGCAAATCATAGATATTTAGATTCAATTGATAGTATGACATGGAAAAAAGAAAAACGTTTACAACCAGTTAAATGTGGACAATTAGAGAGAGAGAAGAGAACCTGGCATAGTTAAGGGGCTCAGTGAAGAATGGCACCATAAATTGAAGCTGTCTTATTCTATTGGGGGATTGACAGTTCTAAAAAAAGAGCTTCTCTAGCAAAAAAGGGCTGCTGCTCAAATGTCAGCTTCTTTTCAGGTTTAAGGAGACCCTAATTTGCATGGTTACCGAGCTTGACCATTCATAATTAGGATTCTGGAGCCACACCCACAAGGTCTCAATTCCGATCCCAAACCTCAATTCCTTGGCATTTGGTACTCCCAGATGGGCCTCACAATTTGGTTCATCCTGTCCAAGAATCCTGATAGAGAGAAAACTCAGAACCAAGTGATGCACCTCCTCAGATTCAAGGCCTCAGTATAATGGCTCCATATATATCAGTTGACTCAGCAATCGTCTAACCATGCTGACTGCTATGAACCGACCTCAACAAAATGTAGATCCTCAATGCACTTGGCAGCAACCATGGGTGGCTTTGCAAAAGTTTCTGAAGCTGCCACCCGACTAATTAGTATCACCAATAAGCAGATCCTTTCTGCTATAAAGCAACCTCAACAAAATGAAGACACAAAGGGCACCGGCAAAAGCCACAACAATAATAAGATAGGGAACATGTATAGAAGCAGCAACACGAAATCAATAAAAGACCAGCAAGACTGGACAATTTAACTGCAAAGTTGCATGATAAATTGGCTAAACTAAGGAAAAACACAGCAGTACAATACAGAGGTCTACATCAGTGTGGCCTATACATATTCTGTCAATCACTATCAAAAGAAAATTCTCGCCTCGGATTTATTATTTGGAGGTGCAAGACCGATTAAATGTCATCAAGCACTGATCAAGTACATATTAACATGCATAGGGAATGAAAACGATTGCATACTGTCTGTTAATATTTTATCGCCAAGTGGTATCTCCTCCACCTTTCAAAGAGAAGGTTGAGGATTTAACTCCCAGTTGGGACAAAGGTGTCTTACTAAAAAGCTTGAAAGGCGTGCTTTCATCTGTGACCATTGATGATGAAATATGTGACTACTAGAGCAAGTGCGACGTGATTTCATCTGTGCCTGTTTCTGTTGATGATTAAATATGTGACTATAAGAGCTGCACTTGAGCTCTCCCCCCCCCCCCCCCCCCCCCCCCCCCCCCCCACATTTAGAAACTAAATGACGTACCACTGTACCAGTATAAATGTATTGCATCATACCATAGAGAGTAAATAATGGATGACGTACGGCAATGCAGAAGCATGCAAAGGCAAATGATGTCAAGTATCGAGAAAGAAACTCAAATTGAGAAACAAAGGATCCCTGTTCAGCGAGATACTAAACTTCATCTATTACAAATGGCGTCAATACATCCTTAAGTATTGAGAAAGAAACTCAAATTGAGAAACAAAGGATCCCTGTTCAGCGAGATACTAAACGTCATCTATTACAAATGGCGTCAATACATCCTTCCAGTACACACTGTTGAACCACAATAGCATATCTTCTTCTTGATATTTCCACTGGAATCACGAATCTGATTTACAGTATAATTGTAATCGTAACTCAGCTCCTGTAAGGCAGGAATATTATCCGCAGCAAAGAGCATTATATGGGGCATTCGCTTGTCATCATGATCATAAAGGACATCCTGAGCATAAAGATTAGGAGAGCAACTGTGGTTGATGAACCTCCCCACATTTCCATACTGTGCTGCATCGATGGTGTAGCCAACATCCTCGTCAACCTCGCTAAAACTTGATTGTGCGTCAGGCTTGAGAGTTTGAGTTCCATCACCTAGAGAGCAGTCATTTTTGTTATGCCCAATATCAAACAAATACTCATCATAATCGGTTCTTTGATCAGCTTCCTTGTCATCAAGAAGCTCTCCAGTATACTCACATATAAAACTTCCAGAAGGAATAGAAGTTAGGGATCTAACACCCCAGCCCCTTAACTCTGTTTTGAAAATTTCAAGCTGAATTTTAGTTTTATGCTGGCTGACTCTGTTACAACAAGAAGGAGGGCATTTGCAAGAAGGACCACACTCATAGACAAGAGACTTCACTTCCACAATAGCTCCATTATGGTTGTATGGGATCTCTCCCCCATTCTTTACTGCACACAAGCATTTTTCAGGATCCAAGCATCCATCGGTACAGTCACAACCCTTGGGAGGATTAGGGCGGTACCAGTCAGGATACATCATCCTGGTCGTGTATCTGAACGGTGGGGGTTTCTCATTGTCTATTGAGTTCACAGCACAAATAGGAAATGGCTCTTTCCCTCCTGATATATCATCAACACAAAGGCCCTTCCGGATTTTACATTTTTTTGAATTTTTCACTTCCTTCCAGGCAAGCTCTGGTTGGCCTGGAATTCTTGTCAATTCAAACTTATAAACCAGGTTACCACGAGGTCCGGGTTCCTGCCAGTACCTCTTTACAATGTACAGGCCATCGTAAGTGTATGTCATAACCATCTTAGCTCTTGCATTTGATGAGTCAGAGGCCTTTGTCTCTCTAGATCCACGGATCACTCGCACTGGATTCTTCTCCGATATACTGTTCTTCAAAGCCAAGTTTCCTCTTACAAGTTTCTGGTCTTCAGGTTGCTTATTGTGACCTACTGAATTTCCTCCTTGTCCAGAGTATATTAAGACATCAGCATTGTCCAGATCATCATCATAACCCCCTGAAGCAACAATACTAATTGCAATTATCTCTCCAGTCCTGGAAGTCATGTAATCTATACCAGGCTGGTACAGGTGATGCACGCCAACAAGAACAAGCTCCACCCTGTACTGGAACTCATCGCCCACCTCAACTCCTGGAACTGGTCCCAGCATTTGTTTATAAGTGTTAAGTTCTTTTCCTTTTTTCTTAACAATATCCATTGCTTCAATATCAATCCTATTGCTCTGCCTCAACTTTGCTTCTTCCTTTCGTAAGAGCTTCCTACAATATGTTTGGAAGTGAAATAGTGTTTCCCTCACTTTGCTTCGGGCATCACAGCTATTTGAAGCACTTGAACCATAACAGCGAGGCAGACGTACATCAAAATCATGCAGCTGAGAATCGTTGTGCTGCTCATCATCATGAACAACAAAATATTCCTCATCCCAGACAGGTAGTGCACCTCTGCCTTCATAAGCTGCCTTCCCAGCAAACATTGATTTCCCCTTCAAAGAATTTCCTCTCGAAGAACCTGCTTCATACTTATTTTTCGTAACAACAATTCTAGACTTCTCTCGCCTGGTGAAATCCTGCTTCTTTAATTTGCTTCGGCTCATACCACCCTCTAGGCTAGTTTTTGAAGCCCCTTTCCCCTGCTTCCACAGACTATTTGGTGAAGCCATCAGACCTTGCCTAATCACCCTGTCCACTCCACATCCCAAACCAACATGATCACCCAAAACCCTTCGCTTAGGACTTTTGTCATATGAGTGAACCATAATCTCCTTCGGCACTTTCCTAAATGAATCTCTTACATCCACGGTATTCTTTTTAATTCCTGCCTGGAACTTTTTTCTTGGCTCAGGCACAGTTCCTCTCGATTCATTCTTCTGAGCATTCCCATCTCGAACATTCCTTTTTGATTCTACGATGCTAGCCCTTGCAGTCCCCAGTGTCTCCGTCAATGGCCTGCATTTTGCAGCAGCCCTGTCTGTGCTACCAAAACTCTTGCTTCTCAAAACAAACCTCCGGCGCTCTTTCTCATTTGAGCATGGAACATTCCTTCCACAAAATGGAGGGTAATCACGGATAACCAAAACTCTTCTTCGCAGATAATTTGATTTCAGGACAGTCTCCTCTGAAACATTGGCATTACCAATAGACCGCTGCTGCAGAGACAACTTTTTTGCCCTAGCCACCGACACAGCTTCGTTTTCTGTTGCATCATCCCTCTTCAACAGGGCCTGATACGCCATCTCAAGCAACTCCTCCACCAATTCTGGTGAAAGACATTCTAAATTTTTCGGCAACCCAACTCCCACTACCTCCATATTTGTTGAAATTTTCTCATCCTCACCAACCATCGTCGTATCCACCACCTTCCCCACCAAACCAGCTGATGATTCAGCCATTTCTGGCCGAATTTGACTTTTCAACACTTCACGAGACTGGAACTCAACCCGAACACAATCAGACACTACAACGTCAGCCCTCATTTCACCATCCTCCAAATTCTCCTTCTTACAAACCAATGCCACCACATTTTCCTCTTGCCTCAAATTAATCGGCGGAGCATTTGGCCCACACCCCGGAGGATAATCACGAATGCACAAAACCCTCCGGGGCATATACCTGAACTCCGAAACACTAGAAGACGAGCAACAGCCATTTTCCAGTTTCCGCTTTCTGGAATTCCCATCAGATAGACCACCATTCAACAAAAGCACCATTCTCTATACCCCCAACAACAAAATTTACCGTTTGGTTACTGAGAAAAAATTAAAACGATAACAAAATCAAAAGAAAATGTAAAAATAAATCCGATTAACACTCGGAATCTAAAGAATTGCAAGTAAACCTCAGAGTAAAGAGAAATTTAAGAGAATTCGCAGCTTATAAGCATACAAAGTAACATAAACAGTGAGTTTATAGAACAACAAAGTAGGGTTTGAATCCATTAAAAGAAAAGAAAGAAAAAACTGAAAGTATATGTACCTGGTGCGAGTTTTGAGTTATGATTGTTTCTTGAGAGGAATATTCAATGGTGAGTCGAGTGAGTGAAATGGATGTATTAGCGATTCATGGTTGATATTTTTGCTGCGAGGGTTTTGTCACAACCAAAGTGTGAGCTCTAGAGAGAGAGAAGGTGATGGAAATGCCCAGTGTCACTGCGAAGAAAACTGTACTACTATAAACGACAAGGAAATGGAAAGCTGTGATATTATAGTTATGCCCTTAGTTTTTCTGTGTATTATCGGCTCTACCACGTGGCTCTCTTTATTTCTCTCTCAAATATTGCAAAGAGTTACCACTCAAAAATTAAAAAATATTACAAAGAGTTTGTCTCTAAATATAATTATATAGCTGTAATTGTTTTTAGTGTTTGAAAGACGAGCCCTGCACCCTCCCCTCTATCCTTTAACTCCTAACATTTTTGTTATTAATATATATATATATATATATAGAACTTTAGTCTCCTTGATAAAAAAAATAATATAAAAATGTATACAAAAAATAAAAGTTAATTACGTTCCTAATGGTAGTATTAAATATAAAAATAAATATAAATTGTCATTTTAAATTAAACTTCATTTAAGTTGCGTTCGAAAGCACTGATTTTGCACTCTAAACTTAAAATGAAGAAAATTTAATTCAATGCGAACTTTAAGGCTTCCAAACAGAACTATTTATAAATTTCGCTTGACTAGTTGAGGGGTAAAAAAAAAATTAACAGCTTCAGTACAATTGTGAGTGTGTATATATACACACATATATATATATGTATGTATATGTACTTATTCAAGTTGGAATTTGAATTACGTTGATGTCCAAATAAAATGGGATTCGAGCTTAATTCCTAAGTCAAAGCGGGAGCGGGAGAGGGAGCGAATTTGAGAGTAGGAGCGTGAGAGCGGCAGAATTAAATCATAAATAGTGATAATTTAAGTTAGAGCGCGTGCAAAGCGTGAGAGCGGAAGTGCGCTGGGAGCATAAGAGCAACACCTGTTAAGAAAGATTGTGTGACTTAACTTAATTCTATAATTTAAATGCTCTTATGTTTCAAATTATATTTCAATTGAGACCTTTCAATCAAATTGAATCCTATTTCCAAAAAAATTTTACATAAATCTGTAAAAAATATAGGACAATATTTAGGTCCTCACTGGTAAAGATTTATAAAATACTCACTACGGATGTGGACCAATAATAAAAGATGGTATGGTAGATATTCACTTACCAAATCAGAGATAGTGATTTGATTACCATCTATAATTTAATAATTAAAATACAACGTGTCTATTTATTATTTGTCCACATCAGCGGTGAATATGCTGTGACAATTGCATAGGTTGTAACACTTAAAAGCCTTTTTTTTTTTTTTTTTTTTGGAACAGTGGTATCCGAAGCTTGGTCCTGGCCAAGCACACCGGCCCCACAACACGCTCAGCGGTCAATCGAGAACTGCTCGCAAAGAGGTACTAGAATTCGAACCTTGGCTAAACACTAGATGGGTAGCCCAGCACTTGAGACCCGTCCTGGCTACCAACTCTGCTACGCCCCAGGGGCAAAAGCCTATTATTTGCGTAGGCTGAAGAATTGAGAAACCTCCCTGGTAACATTTTTCAAATGCTAGACTACAAACTTGTGACTTGTGTTTTAAAATTATGAAACTAGGAAGAATACTTATAAAACATTTCAGAATTTATTTAAAAATAAAATTACCCTTAAAACAAAGTGGTACATTTGTGCACTAATTCACACAAGATAACATTAGATTACAAGTATTTTTTTTAATTAAAAAACCAAAGAATGATGGGATCTTTTTTCTAAGTACTTAAAAATCATAAAACTATACAACACTTCTACTTGGTTGATAGTATTTTAGAATTGTATTATGAGAGCTCAAGGTAAAAAAATGTGAGTACTTTCTCTTATAGGAGCAACTCTTTAGGATTAATTTTCTATTTTTTAAATTATTGATAATTATTTTTTTAAAACAAATTAAATAGGCCTGTAATTTTTCCTTCATAATTTCATTAATTCCGGTTGACTACCACTAGGGACGGTAGATATCTTTTCTAATTTCTGCGACGAAAGGCGGAAGATTCAACTCTTGTTAGAAAAAACAAAATTAATAATAATAATAGTAAATAAATAAATGTGTGAGTTGCTTGCCAAATTTAAAGCAAAATAAAAATAAAAATATGAAAAGTAAATAAATAAATAAAATACTACCGTTGACTGAATAGGCGGGAACCCTTAAATTATCAAAACGGCGTCAGTTTGATTGAAGAAGGCGGGAACACCCTATCAGAAGAGAGAGAAAACAAAGAGGAACACCAAGAAACCCTCAAAAACCCTAGAAAAGACTCTCGAAATTTCACCGTCTCCGACCCTCTAACCTCAAAATGGCCAACGACCCATTTGCCTTTCTCGTTAATCAGTGTCAAATTTCGTGCTTTCAAGAAGAAATCCTCCGAATTTGCCCTTTCGCTCGGCAATCGGAGGTCTTTTCCGAAGGCGAGCCGCCGTCGCAGGAGACCCACGAGACTCCGGTGGAACCCACCGGAATCGTCATGGTCTCTCTGTCGGACAGCTCGAATAACGACGAAGAATTCCAAACCCCCCAAGAGCAGTCTTTGTTGGCTAGCTCTGAAGAACAGAGAGAGACGACGGCCGTTGATGCTTTGACCGGTCAGAAAATCAACGGTACAAATGATGGTGGTGATGACGGTGAGACCATGCCCCATGATGATGTTTGTCCGGAAGCAGGTAAAACGGTTGATTTGAGTAAGGACTCGGATAATCTAGGGTTTTCGGGAGTCCAATTGACGCAGGTAATCGATGATGGTGGTGGTGTTTCTGGTGTGCGTGTGAGTGAGGTTTCTGAGTGTGAATTGGAGAAATTTAAATCTAATGAGGGCGTTTCAGTTTCGTCTATGTCAAGAAAGTTGAGATCTTCTGAGGAAATTGTACGCTTGGGATCTCCAAATGGTTGTTTAGGCAATAATGAGCCAACGACCGTGGAAGCTAACCAGAATTTGAATGTTAACACTGAAGTTCTTGAATCAGATTTTGGAGGAATTGATAAAGGTCTAGGGTTGAGTGGGGACACAATGAATGCGAATTCGCAGGCGAAACAAACTCAGGAAGGTGCTAGGGTTAGTAAAAGGCGTAAAATTCATGAGAATGGTTCATGTAGTAAGAATATTGATGATCTTGATTATTTCAGATATGTGGCATCTTCCAGCAATGAACAGCATTGTGGGAAGGCCAAAGTTGTTGAGGAAAGGCGCGAATTGCCATCTTCGCTTACTGGGCAAAAGGGGAATGTGACAGGGGAGCCAGTGCCTGGGAGTTCATCAGCTAAGAATCAGCTGTTGAAAGATTTATTGGATGGTTTGAAAATTGTTTCTGGGCAGCTGTATGATGGTTCCGAGGATGCAGATTTCCTGGAGACTGCTAAGAGACGTTGCATGACTTTCCGACGGCCTAGGTGGTTGCCACCGGAGGGGTCATGACTCATATGTCATTTATGGGAATTCTCTGTCATGGGTTATGGAAATTCCGATGAATTTCTATGGATACTTCTGTCAATTGAACCAGGTAGGCCATAACTTTAGAACCTGTAAAGTAATGATAGTTCAAGAGTTTCAATTTGATGATAGAAGATGATGTTTTAAGAATTGCGCATAGTTGTTTGTAACGAAATTAAATGTTGTTGGCCTTATTTTACATTTATAAATCCTGTTATATATATATGACTTTTTGTGTTTGTTGTTTGTCTTCTGAGAAACAATAAGGTATTTCTGTGAATATATTTGTTTATATTCTTTAAAGTCCAGTATGAGATTCATGGCCTCAAATGGCAATTTATGTCTCAATCAAACTATCTGGAAAATACTGAACTGGTTTCAGCATGCTGGTGTACATCTTTAATAGAATGTGTATAAATTATGTGAAATTGCTGAGCTACTTGTAAGATGCCTGTGTAAATCTGTAGTTGAATGTATGTACATACCTCAGCCACCAAAATCACCAAAATTTTGGCCTCACTCAGTAAATGGCTGATTTGTAGTTTCAATTTTGTTTGTGAGAAGGCATGCAACAGTGCAGAATAGGAAATAATCCTACACAAGATGTTGTAGATTCTAGCAACTTATAAACAACTAAAAAAGTACCACCAACAATCAGAAGACAATGGTGCCCTGAAAGTATTCCAATAGAGACATCTACTACTTTAAATGCACGTTATCGAGCTCTGTAGTTGTTTTTATTAATTTCTTCAAGTTTCAACACTTTTCACTATCAAAATTGAAACCTTGGCTTGATACCACTCCTCAGACCCTTCGGACTCCAGCGCTTAGAATCATCCCTTATTCAACTCTTATTACATGGATCCTTCCCTTTTCATGTTTGCTATCAATTCCTTTCTACCCTTTAGCTTAGGCTTTGACACTCTAATGCATAACCAACACTGAAGAACAATGGTGAAAATCGATGCACAAGTTACCCCTACTGTAGCAAGGTGAGGAGCCAAAATTTAACCTACAAAATGAACATGATGAACTCATTACTTGCAGATAATACTGCCAATTGGCCAAGTAACTAACATTGTGATTGGAAGTTTGGGAGCACTGCCTCAATTGCTAGAACACTATATTTACGAGGTTATGCTACACTCACTGTTTAAAGTCGCCATGTTATTTTACTTGCACGAAATTGTGGAATCTTTGCAAGTAAGTAGGTATGTACCTCACTCTCCCAAGTCTATAGATAAGAAAATATGTTAACTCCCTCAAGTTCATAGATAAGAAAATTTGTTACGTTAAGATCTTGTGTAACATTTCCTAAACAGACTTCTCTCAGAATATCCATAAGTGCTTTTCCCGAATGTATGAAATGCCATAAGATCCATCAGTGTTGTCAATCTATAGTGCTCCTTTTATGTCTTCACATCTGAACTCAGTTTGACATCGAAAGGAAAAGCAAAATCTTCTATCTCTGCTCCCTATCAAATATTCTTGTTTTCTTATTAACCAAACATGAACTCAATTGCACCTAATTTTGAATCCTGATACATAGAATTAACGACTGCTGGGAAATGCAAATAACTGCCGTTATTCCTAGAAGATTAAAGCATATTGAACATCTTCATCAGCCTTGCATTTTTTTTTTTCCCGGACTTTATTCAGTCTAATTTGTACGTAAAAGGGAAGCTTAAGGATGGTTGAGATTACTTGAGAAACTGAGGCAAAGTATTCGCATATTCTAATGATAAATGAAGAGGATATCTTTGTAATGTTATTGTATCATTTAATACATAACTAAAAGTAGATTAGCTAAAATTCAAAGCTAGTTGAATAATACAAGCTTGTAGAATGACTTTTGGGACGCTATACTGACCAACAATGTAGCTTCTTCAACTTTCTTTGATGAATTCAATAAATACCTGTCTCTTTCAGATGAAGCAATTATTTGCCAAATCTGAGCATTATCTTCATGTAAATAATAGCAGGTAGGGACCGTAGGGTCAAATCAAGAGTAGCTGCTAACATCTCCTTGCCCACCTTTTTCTCCAAACAAAATAAAGAGATATATCTCATAGATGAAAATCAACTTGTTTAAACCCTTTCAGGTCCAGCTAAATGTGTGTGTGTGTGTGTTATTTCTCTACATATTACACTGCATAATCGAGGATGTGAACGGTCAGGATACATACTGATTCAAGTTTGATGAACATTTTGATGCTTGCAGACGCTGAATTTGCTGTTTTAATCGCATGGTGTTTACAGATACTGGATTTGTTGTTTCAATTGGCTCACATCGAGTTCAGATTATTAACTCCTGACAAGCATATTGGTTTAACTCTGCTTGCCCTTGCCCATTATAACAAAATCTTCAGGTTCTAGACTGCAATGCCTTTTCTTGCTTTCCAACAAATTGTTTTCTGGACTTGGTAACCTATACAATAATGCGAAATTAGTTGGGGTTTTCTCAAACTCATGTATTTCCAACTAATATGTAGGCTGTCATGCTTATTTTCAAGAGTTTAAATTGGTCAACAAGATTAGTAGTCTCCCAAATGGTTTTAAGATCCATTCAGTGAAAGAATTAGGAAAAAGTGTGTGTGTGTGTGTGTGTGAGAGAGAGAGAGAGAGAGTGGCTGTGAGCTGTTTCTATCCACGGTGGATGGCTGCCCAGGCAGATCTCTCTATGCTGTGAAGTCAGCCAAATTGCCTCCAAAAGGCATAAAAGCAGAATAGATTTTAACTTCCATTTTATGCATGCCACTTTTTTTTTTTTCCTTCGTTTTTTTTTCAACTGCCTGCCAAGAAAAACTAATATAATGAACATAACAGCAAGAAACAGAAAGGTATCTCAAAGTTATGTTGCAAGTCAACTAAGATGTGAGCAAAAACTGGGGACATTAAACCTCTTCTGCAATTTGTGTTATATATATTACAATCTTTTTGTCAACCTATACAAAAAAGCCCACCCACATTTCATCCCTTGGCACCTCAAGTTTAATATACTTTAAAAAAAAAAAAAAAAAAAAAGCAACCATCAAACCTCATTCACACCTCATTCACATAGATTATTGTATGTTTTGTATGCAAAATATGTGGAACCCAATTACGGTTTTGGCAAAAGTGGTGCCTAAAATAGCCCTACTGATTATAGTGTTTTGACAAGGATTGTCAATGGCGGGCAAGATATGGGCATGCTGAGGTACTAATGGTACTTGCTTGGGCACTAAAACTTGAAGTTGGGAGAAGGAGCTCCGCCTGTGGGAAAGAGCTGTTGGACGGCACATCCAGCAACAGATCTTGATCAGAACTTTCATCTGCATAACGGAAGGAGTCCAGCATGAGAGAGCTACTATCAGGAGGCAAGGCAAATAGGCTCCTTGGACTAAAGCAAGAGCCATCATTGTCTATGACTTCCTTGTGTTCGTAGCTACTCTTCATCATCACCCTTTTGGGGCTCTTCATTGTCATCTTCGCTCCTGAAAGATGCACGGTATATTTTAAAATATGTTGCAATGTACACCACATACATGGTTAACAGCAAAGGCAATTCAAATTCAAGAAAGTGACATCATCAAGTTCTCTTGTTCATTCACTCAACACAAGGTTGTTATTAATGCATGCAGGCTTGTGGCTCAAATCACCTTTTGAGCCTTTACTTCAGCCTTAAACTCCACCACAACTTCAGACATAAATACGTGACTCCTTTTTGTTTTGGCTTCTGGTTTTATGAGATTCTTTTCCTTGAATCATGACGTGAGGATGTGATGCCGGAATTGCACTATGGATAGGAATTTGGTATGTGTCCATGAGAAAAGGGATGACTAGTGCGTCCATGAGAAACAATAGCTTAAATTCAACCTTAGTTAAAATGAAGTACCAAAGGAATTTATATAAGTTGTGTTGAAAGATGCTCGAGGGAAATAAGGTACACATGTTTGTTTGAGAACCTTCCATTCAATTTTCAAAATAAAAGTCACAGCCAAGGTTGCAAGGAGATTCGTTTTACCCCAAAATGGGTTCATATCCCCTAAACCAGGATAGCTTGCAGACATTTAAACAAACGATGACTTTGTCCACGAAGTACAAGACATGCAAGCAACTATAGGTCACAATTATTGTAAAGGATATGAGCCCCTCTCAACCATATTATACAATGGCAGTCCGAAATGTGCAAAGCTGAGTCAACAAGACACCTCATGGGTGTGGGTATGGTGTATCTATCGAAGGAAGGGAAATATATTTTTCCTATCTCATTAGAGACAAAGCGATCTGGTGTTAAAACTTTTTCTCCAAATGTTTTGAAGAAGATAAACAATCATTTTGATAGTTGATCCCTCCCTGTCCATCTGTCTTTAGATTTGGACAATGGATGATGCTAAAAAGTAGAATCACTAGAAAAGATGCAATGCCAATATAATTAGGCTCAAGGATACCCTAAGCTTATGTAAGCTCCTTTTAGTTGGAATGACAGTAGTTTCCTCTATAAGAGAAACAAATAACATACTCATAGGGTTGCAATCGTGAGACTAGAGGTTTGAGTCTGAGACAGTCACTTTGTGCAGAAAATGTCATAGCTTAGTTGGGTACCCAATTGATTACCCCAGCACCAAAGACTGCAGAATGGCCTTTTCGATTAGAATTATTCTTCTTTAAAATTCATGGCCGGATGAAGTTTTGTTTCTGAAGCAGTCATGTCTATACCAACTCTAAGCCATCCAAAAGTATATTCACAAAGGAAAAATATGGCTAACCTGGATAAATTTGATGTTGACCATCTTGCGATCTCTTTAAATTTACTGAACTACATGATGCTATGGCATTAAGCCCTCCTGCAACTACTGTATCCCCAATACTGTTTTTATATTTTACATCCTACAACCAAAATAGGCTTAGTATTAATAGTCTTGTATTCATTTACAAAGATAAATTAAAACTCTCACGACAGGATATTCATGTAGTAGTTGGTTCAAACCTTGAGTAGATTATACTGTTCCACCCACTTAGATTTTGTCAAACTACATAATGCAAGTCTCTTCAAGGTCCTACAATCTTCAGTTTTCCCTCCTAAGACAGAGAGATCAAAAACCCCTTCGGCAAGCAGTTTCTGAAAGGAGGATAGGTTCTCCTTGAACTGAGGGCTATCAAACATGCTTTTGAGGCTGTTGATAAGGAAACAAAGATCATCATCAATATTGGACCATGCATAGCTTCTTTAGAACCCTTAATTTACAGTCAATATGATGTAAGGAGAAAAAAGGGAACTGGAACTGAATATCACAATATTCTATGTTAGCAAGAGATATCAAAATTGAGAAAGAAAATTTTTCATATAGGTTTACTTTGCATTTGAGATGGTCAAAAGCATCTGTATGATTTTCCTCTTCTTTTTTGGAAATGTTTAGAGCTTCTGCAAGTACTTATTCACTTCCTTACTATAGATGGCTTCATGAGATCAAATGCTACTTTTAACAAAATGGGTAAATTCAATTCCACAAACAGAGATACAAACCTATCAGGTAGTCTGGCAGTATCAACTGGAGGTATACACTTCAGCAACTGCTGCTGCTCTTCACTAGTCAAATGACTGGAAAACACGTTAAAGTTAAGAACATCCTGCACCAAAAATTAACAGCAATCATGACAGTGCTGAATAAATTAATGAAGAATAAGATCCAAAGTGGTCAATCATGATGACTGAGCCAGCAAATTTGGCATTCAGGTTCACTCTACACAAGGAAGAACGAGTAATTTAGCAACTCTAGAAATCAGTCAAAAAAAAGTAAAAGAATGAATGAGAATTCACAACAAATCATGAAAGTCATCATTCAAATAACAGACATATTCTATATGGTCAATGAAAAGGATTCAATTCGATGTAAAACATTTTTTCACAGATTCCGAGAATCTGTCTTAATGACCCTGAAGATTAGCTCAACAAGAAGGATACTAATGCAATAGTAGACCTCATGTATGCAGGAGTTGGCTTTCAAGCATACCATCAAAAAATAAAAAATAAATAGAGACATCCAACTTACTTTTAGATCTATGTAACATAGTGGTGAATTATGATTTCCCAGAATCTGTAGCTTTTCATGTGGAGTCTTGTCCCTGCGATTTCAACAAGATAAGTAGTGTTAGTTTTAACCAATGAAGCAAAATACTCTCCAACCCTCCTTAAAATAAGGATAAATTATCTCCAGATGGGTGTACCCATGTTATCACTTTTACTGTCAGGCCAAAAGTTCGTAAAATTATTTCTGTTTCTATATCCCAGGCACAAATTCTATCCCAGCAGAATGGCTAAGCATATCAGGACCCTAGGACTCACATTAAAACTCATTCTCCAGTCTTCCTGGCAAACTATCTGACATAACAGTTCTATTTTTCCCTTGTGAATGGTGTTCGAGACTTTATATCCATGGAGGGCACCAACACCCATGTTCATAGTTATACTGCATCTCTGACCTACCGGAGGTTGCTGGCATTAAACACCTCAAACCTTGTATCCTCGTCACATAACTAGCAAAATTTCATTACAAGATTTAATTTGGATTTTGAGTTATTAATTTATAATCAAAAGTAATACGGGAAAGAAATACCTTTTCATTTGCTCTTGTTGCATCCGTTGTCCAATAGGCTTCTTGATATCTTGGATCCCAGGACTTCGAAAATTAACCTTCTTGTTATCAGTATTTACAGGAAGAGTAGTAGAATAAGAATACGCCTCATTTGCCAGGTGTGATTTGTTATCAACTGAAAGGGAGCTTGCTTCAGATTCTTCTTCTCTGGCAATTGAGCTTGGATGTCGAATAAGAACACTTCCATGTCCTATCTCAACTGAGACCATTGGCGTATCACTCTCAAAAAGCAAATCCTCTTCAGAAGATCCGGAAAAGTAAGAAGATTGTTGTTCGTGTAAGATGGTATATAGATCTTTAGTAAGTTTCTCGACTGGAGATGGCTTTGGACGACTGACACAGGTCCTCTTCCTTGAAGGTACCATTGTGTCCCACACAATGGACTGAGCTGGGCCTGAAAGGATGACCCAGGGTCACTTACAACAGTCAACAATATGTTGCAACTATATGAGTGGAACAATTTCATAACAGCTTTGCAGAATGCAGCAGAAGATGCAGAACTGAATTCTCAAGCAGATTATAAAATGAGGAGAAATTACTAAAAATTACTATTAATAACAACATAAATAAAACATTGAATCATCAAAATCAAAATTGAAGCTTTTGAATTATGTCCGCAGCTATGATTGAGAGAAAAGAAGACAAAAGGAACTTTTGAATTCTGTCCACAGCTCTGATTGAGAGAGTAGAACACAAGGTGTCTCTACTCCATAGATCTCAATAAAAATGTAAGTACATCAATGGGCACTATAAAATTCTTAGAAAATGATAGTATTTGCTATTAATGTAACCATTTTTGTAGTTCCTGCAGATTACATAATAGCGTGCGTCATAGAATCAGTTTGTAATTTACTTTTCCCTTATACCATACCAAGCACTTAGCTTCGGACAAGCAATTTCACATTAAGCTGGAAGGCAGGAAATTTAACATTTGAACTGGAATATGATCTTTTCTCATTGTATAATACAATGGTCCATGCCAAGTAACTCCTCACACCATCTCATTTCACATTTGAACTGGAATATGATCTTTTCTCATTGCATAATACAGTGGTCTATGCCATGTAACTCCTCACACCATGGATTCTCTCTAAGACCTACCCAAAGAAGGGGAGGAAAAAAAAGAAAAAGAAAACCTCCATGCTAACAATGAAAAAGGATCAGTCTTCTAATAATATAATTAAAGATGTAAGCGGGTGGAGGTTGACACTAAAGACTACTGGAATTGTAGGTATAAATCATGCAGATATAGTGACTGACCAACCTGTCAGATCACTTGCATCTGCACTGCCAAATGGTGCACAGCTTTCAGAGTTGGATATGGCAGAGCCCGAACTTGATCTATTACTTGTATCTTCATCAAGACCCTTACGAAAACCCTGGTTATAATCAGGGGCAACTACTGCATTTTCATGATGTTGCTTTCTTTTTAGAACCTTCGCTTCTTTGTTCTTTATAGATATGCTCTTCACTCTTGAAACCCTATAATCCTCAAATTCATCAGGTTCAGCCCTAGCATGTAGAGGAGTATAGTTTGCTAGTGTTCCTTTTGTTCTCCACCGGGAACCACATGCATTGCAAAGTACTGGCTTCTCTGGAGGCCCATTACGCCAAAGAGGGGTGCCTATAGCAAAATTCAATTGTCAGAAATCATTACAGACAAATTAATTCTGAAGAAGAATGACCAAAGATGTGATATAGATAAACATAGAAGAACGAAGAGGAACTGCTTATCTGAATCCTAAAGAAGGTCGTAAAGACGAAAAAAGAACAACTTATATATTAGAAGATAAAAAGCACCATGTTCTTGATATATTGAGGAGAGCAGAACTTAAGTAAATAGAGAAGTAACAACAATAAGCATGTATATACTAGCCATGACAGACCTATTACATGTAATATGTTTGGGTTTCTTACAAAGAAGACGGTTCACATCACACTGCAGCATTTTCCAACTTAAAATAACCAATTGAACATGCATTTGTCATGTATCTTTATAAAATATACACTCAAAAAGAAGCAGTCTCGAAAAATGCTTGCGAATGGTTTGTGTTTTTTTACTTTTATCTTAAACAAAACAAGAGAACAGAATCTCATAATGTTGCATTTAGAAAAACAACTGAAAAAACTATTAATGGTTGAGACAAAGATATAACTTTTCAATCAGAATGCAGTTGCAATTTCTAGATGTGTTGATAACAGTGTTATTTATGATCAGACGCGTATTTGTGCTTAAGCATGAGCAGAATCAGCAATGAAAGTTCCATTGAACTCAAAATGAAAGAGACTACCAGAACAACACATTAACAGATACAATAGGAACCAACAAAGTGACAGGCTCCTTATGGGGAGAAAGCAAAGTATTGAATTAAGTGGTAGACATAGAAAGGAATTAAACAAATTGAGTACTTTACAGTTTATGGTTAGGATTGCGAGTATCTTAATCTACATTGAGAAAAAATTGTTAGGATTGTGAGTATCTTAATCTACATTGAGAAATAGGAGGTTGGTTTTATTGGATGCAATGTGCTAGTTACTTTCTTCTTTCATTTTCTTTTTGTTTTGGTGCATGTTAGGGGAGAAGGGAGGGGGATAACCCCACCCTCTTAGGGGCCGGGACCAATGTAACACAAAGAAAGTATAGATAAAAGAGGGCATTGATGGTTGATTGGAGTAGCAGCTGCAACTCTCAATCAAAGACACACCAAACCAATAATAATTTGGACAATGAATGGAATTCTTATACTCTCAGAAAATCAACCGACACCTAAATCACTGTATGAACAAAATTGGCATGGTTCTTGGATGTCTCTTTGCTGCATAAATCACTAGGGTGCTTCCTATGGCAGTATACATTCCAAAACCTATTTGGAACAATGCTTTTAGGCTCATTTACATTCTGATCATTTGTAGAAGGCAAGCTAGAAGGAAACCACCAAAGCAACCTTATCCTAGACCTCCCTGCAGCTGATAGAAAACAAAAGACACTGAAAATATAGCAACAACAACTTCACTTTGCAGCATCAATGAATTGGAACCCAAATAACAAACCAAATTCTCTAGAAAGTAATGCCATGAAAACAAGGATGAGAACTAAACTTAAGATTCAGTTGATATGCTAAACAATCCCCTATCAGACATTAAAGCAAACAGATTGAAGGACAGTCTGAGAAGAAGAGAAAGTGATTTAAAACGAACAATTTTCATTGAGTAGCACATTGAACACTAAATTGGTTGTTTACAAGTACTTCGTGACTGAATCATAAGCTGTTGAATGACACAAAGTTCCAATATCAACAAGCACAACACTCTATTAGCAAAGATTGAGAAAATGAATTAGAACAAACAGCCCATTGCTTGGAAGTAATTGTTGCCGGGATCATAACTCCAAAGAAGCGCAATATGAGCATGCAATTTAGCAAGAACTAAATTTGACACACAAGGGGATTATAATGGGTAAACAGAAACACCTCCAAATTTTCCGGTACTCAAAAGACACCAAGCTAAATTCCCACTTGTTGCACACTGTGTGGAGGAGTGGAAGGGGAATACAAAGTAACCCATAAGGAAGAAGAAACGATTGAAAAACAATAAGAACCCCAATATCATTCACAAACTGAAACTAGTATTGATGTACAAAAATTAAAGAGCAATTGTAACTCGGTTGTACCTCCATAATACAAACAAATCACTTATTAACAAACCCAATAATATACATCACATATTATTGGGTCTCTTTGTCCAGGTAAACTATTCATTTTAGAAATAAATCACATCATATGAGTATTCGATTCCATGATTGAACAAATTAATCTATAAATATAGAACTACCAAATGAATTTCTTTTTTTTAAATATTAAAAAGAAAGAGCAAAAAAGGAACCCATTTTGTTGAATATTGAAAAATTCTGGGAAAAAACAATTGAAGAAACAAAACTCACTTGTAACACCACAGTGATAGCAAGGTCCTTGCTTGCCCATGTCTCTCTATTTCTTTATTTCCCTAAATCTCAAAGAAGAAATTTCAAAGGGGAAAAAAAAAAAAAAAAAAAAAAGAAGACAAACGACTGGTTTTCTAAGAAAAAAGTTACAACAAAAATAGAAAATCAGAAAATTAGATTATTCCCTACAACCCTTTAATGGCATATACATATTCTACTGGGTTTGGAAGACTTTTCTACCAGATACCCAGAGAAAATTCTGCAGAAAAACTAAAAACCCAAGAAGAGTCTGTTCTCAAAGTCTCAGAAACAACACTCCAAATAGAAAAAAAAGAAGAAAAAAAAAATCAACCAGAAATAAGGGATTGAGATGGGTTCTTTCTTAGCTGAGAATCTGTACAATCTTATGGGAAAGAGAAAAGTCCATTGAGAGGAATCTAATAAATGGTTGGGAAAGGAAGGTGAAATGGGAAGGGGGTTGTGTTTGTGTATGACCTCTCCTTCTTGTATTGTATATGAAGTAAATGTTTAAGCTTTCCATTGCTTTTCTTTTTCTCTCTCTTTTAATTTTTATTTTTTCCATGTCATTCAAATCTTTCATTTCAATTTCTTTTTAATTGAATAATAAAAAATCAATATTTTAAACCCCTAATGGACTTGAGGCATGGAATATTATTTGCATATATCCTGTTGACAAATAGACTTTTCTGCTACATCTATAATTTTCTTCAGAACCCAAAAAAAAAATTAAAATAATAATAATTGGTTTTCAAAAACACCAAATTCTAAAAAAATAAATAAAAGGGATAGCCATTAAACCAGAGAAAAACAAGAAAGGAGAAAGAAACAAAGAGAGTTTGTTTGGTCTTTTTTTCCTACTCTCTAACTTCTTTTTGGGTGTAAAGATAAGAGAAAATTATTTATATATTCTCATTTGTGTATGATGAGATGTTGATAATTACATTTATCTAATGGGTTTTTAAATAAATAATATAGAGTCACATTGATTGGTACCCATTTGTTGTCACAGTCACATTCCTAACCATAGATGTACTAAAGTGCATAATACTTGTGGGACCCAAACATGATGTGTCATGCACTGATATTGGGCTTCTAGTAGAAAACTTGAAATTCAACCATGATGGGGCTGTGACCAAAAGTGTCAACCATGAAGAATTGATTGTAATGGTGTAATGACCCCAAGAAAAAGCAAACCACCAAGAAAGTACCCACATAAACCCACCCTATAAAATTTTAGGAAAGTACCCATAAAAGGGAAAATGCAAATTTTTATTTTTTTTACAATTTTTAATTTGATTATAATTTTGAAAAATGAGATAAAATAATATGTTAATGGATTCACAGTGAATATTACTTGGATTTGTCTACTTTTGGTGCCATGTGGCATTAGGTTCACCTTCCTTGCAAGCTATTGGCCCATTCTTTGTCATAATGCACCATCAGAATCATCCTAGCCATTCGATTAGATTACTTTTTATTATCAATATAGATTATAACCAGCAAACAAACAAATGACACCCCTTGATTAGAAAAAAGTGTTCAAATTGGACGGCTAAGCATCATCGATTAGTTGGGGACTTACATATTGATGGGTCTATTTATTTTTAGTATTTGATAGGTCAATAAGCCAAAAAGTCATGGCAAGTTACATGACTTTCACTATTTTGTGCTTTTACTTGCATCACATACTTTTTTCTTTTTCCATCCATTATATCTTTGCATCTAAACCCCTCATTCTACAAGAATTTTACCCATCAGAGGATCTAAACCGTCCGATCCACAGACCCTTCATTAAGCCATTATTTATCTAATAAATTTCATGTATTAGGAACAAGATAATATTAGAAATTGATGATAATGTATATAATTGAAAAGGCATGAGACAATTCTCCAAGAAAAATAAAAATTGGTGTGAATCAACGGTCAAGATTCGTCGGATTGCGCCATGTCCACAGTCACCACCTCCCTTTGATTAAAATATAACACGCTTAATAAATATCAATAATTATTTTTCAACAAATAAAATAAATATAGTAAATAAGTATAGTCAGACTCATTGTTGGGTCAGAAGTAGAATTCAAAACTCTTGTCCTTCATTAGACAATCTCTTCCTCCCCCTCCTCTCTCTTACTCCATGTGTTTCCTTTGTACAGCTTCCTTTAGGGGGATACATACTCTGTGGTCACTCAGATGGTAAGTCCACCTTAAGCACCCCATCTTGTCCATACAAGTCATATGGCCCCACAAACTAATCAACTATAATCGGATCAGATGATGCCTCCAGAGGGTACACAATGCCAAATTTCTTCTGATCTGCCACGTGTAGGGGCTATGTGGTAGGGTGCATGAATGAAGTAGAGTGCTGAGACACAGGAAGTTCCAAAGGTGTACTATTTTAATTGAATAACTGAGGTACGAGCCTTCTTTATTGGGCAGGAAGACCTAATCTCCGGTGCAACCAAAGACTTAATGTCCAATTTATAATTATTTTGTATAGATAGAATGGATATCTCTAAGTATAGTCAAACATCTAATATATCACTTTCTTAAATTTAAGTGAAATTCCTGAATTATCCTTCACCAACAACCCCACAATTTGCATTTGTTACTATGCTATTGTCACTAGAAAGTAGGAAATATGTTGATGAGATATCAAAGTGATTTGTTTGACTAATCATGTTTTGAATTATTTAAGTATGTTTTGAATTTGTTTCCCCAATATTTGTTTCTATATTGTATATTTGTTTCCCCGAGATTTGTTTCTATATAGCATATACATATCTAGCTTTATCATTTAATTGGATTAGCCACATAAATTATTTCTTTAATTTTTTTTTTTATTATATGTCATTTCACCGATTAGTCTTCCTCTTTTGATCGGTGCGTCTCAAGTCTCCAGTGTAGGTGCGGTTTGATAATTCAATTCATGAATTAATTCTGAACAGATTAAGTGCTTATTCAATTAAGTATGTTTGATAATTTAATTCATGGATTAATTCTAAACCAATTTGAATATCATTAAAAATGATAAATGCCACTGAAAATGGGATAAATTTTTAAGTGACTTAGATATCACTTATATGTTAAACATTGAAAAATAAAAAAGATATCATAAAATACTTTTTTTTTAATTATCACTTAAAAACTTCAGCACTTAAAATTCAACTCTTAAAATTTTTAATACAAATAGCAAGTGTCTAAACTATCTAAGTCTACTCTCTTACCAACAGGCCAGTGGCCTAATGGTACTAGACTTCTATTTCCTAAAAAGAGGTAAGAGGTTTGAGCCTTAGTGAAGGCTTACGTGTGAGTACCAATTAAAAAAAAAAAAAAAAGTCTACTCTTTTTAATTTTCTCACCAATTGGTGTTACATCTAATTTTTCTCACACTTTCTTTAGGTACCAAATTTCTTCTAATCACTCCATTCGTCTATCTTAACATTCTCATTTTTGCTATAAGTTGTTTCTGTTTCTGTTTAGGGTCCAACATTCCGCTTTATACAACATAGTTGGCCTAATAATTGCCATTTCCTCTTAGCTTATATGTAAATTCTTTTATCACATAAAATTCAACTAGCTTATGTCTATTTTCTCCAATCGGCTCCAACTCTACTAGCTATTATATCACTATGCCACTATCTATTTCTCCATCATCTTGGATTTAATAATTCTATATAACGAAAGTGGTTGTTTTGAGTAATCTTTTGATCTTGGGGTGACTCCATGTACTGGACTTTAGTTCAGCTAATTTTATCCTTTCGATTTTAAAGCATTTTTCCAAATTTGTAGTTTTATTGTTAAATTCTCTTTTGAAATATTCAATTGTACAATATGCAAATATTGCACTTTGAAAATTCGTTTTGCAAGTCTTTTATTATATTATTCAAGATCAATTGACCAAACATGTCGATTGAAAAATCTTAACCATCCATTTAGTAGAATTATGTTTTAATCTTAAAATCTAAATAAAAAGAATCATAATTCTATTACAAAAAATATACATTATATATCAAAATGAAATCTGAGCTGATATAAATCAAGATGTGAATGAATAATGTAGTATATTTATTATACAAAGACATATAAGCATCAATACTTAACCATGTCCTATATTGGAGTATTTGTTAAAGAAAAATGAGAAGCAAATTTGTCATGGGGGTAACGTTACAAGATCTCGATAATATCATCAAGTTAGATAAATACTAAAAACAGTTGGTAGGATCTCAAAGCCATTACTAGTAATTAGGTTGTTAGATGTATCTAGTAATCATGTTTTGTCTTCATTCAATTCTTTTTTCTTTTTTCCCTTTTTTTTTTTGTTTTTAATAAGACATTACTACTACATTAGTTCTACATTATGAATGGTCTAGGCTGGTGAATCAGCAGATCATGGGTATTGTCGCCAGTACCTGCAATATTGTTTTATGAAGTATTAACTAATAATGTTCACACACACACACACTTAATATTATACATACATATATTTATACATATAGACCAGTGTTGTGTGTGTGTGTGTATTAATGAGGATGGAGAGAGAAAAAGAAAACTCTATGAAGTGATAATTGACGTCTAAACATGTATAATGCTCACATGATTGATGGATTAGACCCAATTTACAACACAATATTAGCAATATTTCACTTAAAATAGGGCTCTCCACAAACTACAAAGTGATGTCTCTTTTGGCATTGTTTTTCAATGCTAAAACTAAAATTGTAAGAGAATATAGCATGTTTTTTAATGGTGACAAATAATAATTGTGTGTGTGTGTGTGTTCCTTTACTTTTCTTTTTTTCTGGTGATACACGATGGATTTAAACCCTTACAATCTAGTAATCTACTCCCATAATGGCTGGTCCTGCCACATAACAACTCAAATTTTGGGATTTAGTTCGCTTTTTGATAGAAAACTGTTGGAAAGGATAAGAAAACCTATGAATATGACTTGACATTCATTTAAAAAGACGACATCAATTATGTAGATAATTGATTGAAATCTCATATGTTTCATTAATTTTCTTAAATAATTCAAAATGAGAAATTGCATTAATTTAATAGTGTATAAAGGTTTGAATTATCAATTTCAATTTTAAACGGACTTGTTCCATATCGAATTCTGATAAAAGTGAAATGAGTGGGTATGTAACACTACCCAATAATTTAAATTTTTAGATAAATGAGCAAGCGTCTACCCGTTACCGTTAGTATCAGAGTCAGACTCAATCCTTAATATGGTGTTACACTAAGCGCCCAACTCGAAAGACGTCCGGATGTGCCACCCAAATAGGCAGGGTGGCCCAGCTGCAACAATGGTGTTACGAATTCGGTTAAGGGAGAATATTACAATGGGAGACTTGTCCCACATCGAATATGGATGAAAAGTGAAATGAGTATAAATGAGTGAGTATATAATATTACCTAATATCTTAAACTTTTGGGTAAATGAATAAGTGTCCACCTCTTACTTCACCAAGTATAAAGATTGCATTAAAACACTATTCAAAAAAATTATTTAATATCAAGTCAAACTTTGTTCTTC